CTTTAAGCCTTGGCATGCATTTTCTTGCTCGGCAAAAAATGCATGCCAAGGCTTAAAGTAGCAACAACGCTACACATAGAAACTGATGATGGTGGAAAACACCGAAACGTATTTTAATTGATAAATAGACAATAAATGACTGAATCCCAGGAATTGATTTTGATTTGGAACTATAATTAAAATGGTTTTGGACTGGGCATAAGCAAGACTTTTCGATGGAAAGTTTGGCTGTCACCGAAAAATAAAATGCGAAAATCGAGCAAATTCTTCAGAAGATTTTCCAGTGAAAAGCCAACCAGTGCGTTTTTTCCAAAATTCTCCTATGGGCAAATTATGTGACAAACTGAGCAGGTTTGTTTCGGAAAAAATCCACTGTTGAGCCGGCGAGGAACGAAAGAAGAGTTTGTACAGGCTCTTATGAGGGCTGAATCTTCAAAATCCAAAAACGTTCAGAGATCGCTTATTGGTCACTTTAGAGAAAAAGTTAATACCATATTTTTTATGTGTCTTGACTTCTTCTACCCCGACTCCTACTCGGAATTTTTTGATCTTTTTTGGTTTTGGAGTTATTGCGGATTTTTGGAAACCATTCAATAGAAACCAATTTTTTTTAATTTTCTCAAAAATCGTTCATTGTCGCGATTTGATCAAATTGCTTCTGGTGAATGCTTCGGTCTGCCGCAAAAAAAGTGTGGAAACCGACCGAATTCTAAGGGCCTGGAATCGGCTAAATTGGTATAAGCTGGGATAAAAAATCGCCAAAAATTCACCGATTCCCCAACCAATCCAGCACTTGCACTGATCGATATATCATGAATGAAGCTTTGAAACATTATAAAATATATTGACAAAGGTGGATCTTAGGGTTTTAAAAAATCCGCTCAAAGTTGGAAAATGGATTTCGGCATGTATTGTAATGAGGCTTACAATCAATAACGACTGAACACTGCAAAATTTCAATTTGCCAATTCGGGCTAGTAAGGATGAAGATTTCAGTTAAAAACTGGAAAATTTGTTCCATAGTCCAACACTTGGTTGGTTTTTCAGAAGCCTTTGAACTGGAAGGTGAAACTCATGAGTCCTACTAAATGGCAGCGCAGCTAAACAAAAATTGAAACTTCCAAACCATTGGAAGTAGCAACTTGAACATTTTTCGCAGCAACTCGAAAGGTTTGCTGTGCAAGCGGAGGAAATTGTGTTAAAATCCGGGCGTCGACTGATTTTTCACAAAAAGGTGAACCTGAACATGAAATTTCAGAGTGTAGTAGATTGCAAGGAAAATCCCTGGTTGGGAAAAAAATCGCCAAAAATTATCTGATCATTCAATCCATCCTCCATTCACACTGCTCAATAGAGCATTAATGAGGCTTCGAACCAATACAAAGCTTGCAACAAAATCTGATCTAATGACTTTGAGGCATCCACTCAAACTGCGAAAATAAATCGCCGCTGTTCCTAAGCTTCGTAGATCCAACAGCGGCCAAACACTCTGTATAGAATGCAGTAAAATGAAGATAATCAATCGACTAAACTGCAGATTGAAACCAACTAAATGAAACTGACGCAACTAAATAAAAATTGCAATTTTATCCAAAAATCAATTGGCCTAGAATGTTCGGCTCATAAATATGATGGTTAACAGCATATCGGGACATGCCGATTTTAATTTCCATTTTAAATTTATCGCCATTGATTCTCTGTGAAGCCGTAAAGAGTTTTAC